TTTGAGGAAGAGCCAGACTGTTTTCCACAACCACTATACCACTTTACAGTCCTACCAACAGGGCACAGGGTTCCAGTTGCTCCTCACCCTTGCCAGCACTGGTTATTTTGTCTTTTTGATAGCAGCCATCCTAAGGGGTGTGAGGTGGTTTCTCATTACCCTTCTACCTTGAATTTTTAAAAATTTACTTCTAGTCTCTTCCAGACCCCACCGGTAAAAAAGCCCTTTTCGGGGCATCTTCATCAAAGTCTATTTCTCTATTTTCTGCTGTCCAGATGTTACTTTTTTTTCTCTTTTTTATGGGAAATACGGCTCTCACAGTGGTTGACCCTTCTTCCCATTCTGCTGTTTATTTGGCATAGCTGCGTGGTGTTGGGCAGCAACAAGAATGGGGGAGATGAGACGCTGACCCCTCAGCCTCAGGTGGCCAAGCAGGGTCAGCGGTGGACGCCATGCTGGGCTGGTGGCCAGAGCATCACTCTGTGTGCTTGACAAAGGAAGTGATATCATCACTTTTTCCATGTGTCACAAAATGTAAAAGGTCGGTGGGGAAGCTCAGCCTCGTGGTAGAAACTTTGTTGAGTTCTTTGGCCTTTGCCTCTTAGCATTTGTAGTTAGACTTTTGGAACCTGAAAATCCTTTTCCTTTCAAAAAAAAAGCTCATCTCTTGCAAATGAAACAGGCCTGCGCTCTTTTGGCATGAGCTCTGCTGTAAGTGTAAATGTCATTTTGATCTCTCTGGGTTGCTTGGTGACATCCCTTTGCTGCAGCATATGACTGTCCCCAAGGCAATGAGGCACACTAGACTTGACAAGGCAGCAGGGGGCGGGGGGACAGGTGAAGCTCATTTTCCGCAGCCACGCAGGACAGGTGACTCCACCCTCCCACCTGCACTGACTCTGAGGTCCCACCGTCCCAAGCTCAGAGGCTGCCTGTTGGGCACAGCAATGAAAGGGCACAGTGATGGGTTGGTTTCCCAGAAGAAGAAACTAACAGAGAAAGCAGCAGTCTGGGTGCCATCAAGAGATCAGAAAAAGAGGCCGGGCGTGGTGGCTCATGCCTGTAATCCTAGCACTCTGAGAGGCCGAGGCAGGCAGATGGTTTGAGCTCAGGAGTTCCAGACCAGCCTGAGCAAGAGTGAGACCCCATCTCTACTAAAAATAGAAACAAATTAGCCAAACAACTAAATATATAGAAAAAACTAGCGGGCATGGTGGCGCATGCCTGTAGTCTCATCTACTTGGGAGGCTGAGGCAGGAGGATTGCTTGAGCCCAGGAGTTGGAGGTTGCTGTGAGCTAGGCTGACACCACAACACTCTAGCCCTAGCAACACAGTGAGACTCTGTCTCAAAAAAAAACAAAAAACAAAAAACAAATCAGAAAAAGAGAACTAAGTCTCTCTGCGGCAGGGCAGCGCTGGGCAGGAAGGAAACTGATTTTAGGAAGCTCTGAGCCCGATTCACTCGCTCTGACAGACGACGTGTGCCATTCAAGGTCAGTGGCTCATCCTCTGTGTGTCCTGGTTTCCTCTTCGGCATGTCTTCCGGAAAGGGATGAACAATCAGGGCCTCCCTAAAATGCAAAGTCAGGAGTGGTGACAAACACATGTCACTGGGACGCGGGAGAGACGCGTTCCAACGCCAGGTCTCAGCCTTGGCTGTGCACAGGAGCTCAGAGCTCTCCGTGAAGGATGCACTTCTGACTAAAGGAAGAAGCAGATGGCAGACGGAGCCTAGTAAATTTATGTCATTCTTAAAATGCCGCCTCCTCCTCCTCCTCATGGCAAGTTCCCTGGGAAGTCTGTTAAGAAGAAAAATTAAGCCATCGCTTTTTTTTTTTTGAGACAGAGTCTCACCACTTTGTTGCTTAGGCTAGAGTGAGTGCGGTGGCATCAGCCTAGCTCACAGCAACCTCAAACTCCTGGGCTCAAGCAATCCTCCTGCCTCAGCCTCCCGAGTAGCTGGGACTACAGGCATGCGCCACCATCATGCCTGGCTAATTTTTTGTATATACATATATTAGTTGACCAATTAATTTCTTTCTATTTATAGTAGAGACAGGGTCTTACTCTTGCTCAGGGTGGTTTCGAACTCCTGAACTCAAATGATCCGCCCGCCTCAGCCTCCCAGAGTGCTAGGATTACAGATGTGAGCCACCATGCCTGGCCTAGATCTCCTTATATATTTTTATACAAACATCCATTGGTTCTGTTTCTCTGGAGAACCCAGACTACTATGGCCACATTTCCCTTAGTTGTTGTTGTGAATGCAGAGGACATCTTTAAAATGCCTAGAAAACTGTTCATTCTACACGACCATATGTAAGGTGCACACGTGCAGTGCAAGGCATCCAGTGGGTATCGTCATCTTTGTGGAGCAAATTCAGCCACATCAGTAGGTGATTTCTAAGCCTGACCTAGGCCACACCCTTTCTCCTAAACACACCTGGGAGCTGGAGGAACAACGTTTCTGGAGACAATTTGGCAACAAGGACCAGAGGCCATCAATATATTCCTATCCTTTGACCGAGAAACTCCACTTCTAGAAATTCATCCAAGAGAAATATCGGAGACGTTCAGAGAGATTTATGTAAAAGCTTATTCACTGTGGTGTTATTCATGAGATTAAAAATCAGGAACAATTTAAATGCTTGTCAAGAAAGATTGGTTAGATACATTATGGTAAAGCTATAGGATAAAATAGCATTATGCTATTAAGATCACTTGTAGGAAAATATTTAGTGTCATGGAAGCGTTTATAATTTATTAAGGGGAAAAGAAAGTTACAAAACATCCCACTGTATTAGTCCAGCTTTACGATGTATGTTATAAACTATATAAATTTAGAAAATACGTGTAACTTAGAAATAAACTGGGATCTCTCTATTTCTCGACATCTAGTTACAATTAGTTTAATCTCTCCTCAATTCTATGGATTGTGAAAGTTCAAAGCCTTTCCTGAGACTTCTATGAGTCCTATGTATGAGGATGAGGGAGAAGATACTTATGTTATTATAGCTGCACCGCCATGCTGTATACAAATGTATACAAATACACAATGATGTACAGACACACACACAAACACACAAGCACAAAGCATTTGGGTGTGTGGAGGGATAGAGAAAGAGAGGGAGAAATTTATATTTCAACCTTGTAAACCACTTTAAATTGCACCTTGTACTTGTCCACTACATGCTTTTTCTTCTTTTTTTTTTTTTGAGACAGAGTCTCACTGTGTTGCCCGGGCTAGAGTGCCGTGGCATCAGCCTAGCTCACAGCAACCTCAAACTCCTGGGCTCAAGTGATCCTCCTGCCTCAGCCTCCTGAGTAGCTGGGATTACAGGCATGTGCCACCATGCCCGGCTAACTTTTTGTATATATATTTTGAGTTGGCCAATTAATTTCTTTCTATTTTTGGTAGAGATAGGGTCTCACTCTTGCTCAGACTGGTTTCCGAACTCCTGACCTTGAGCGATCCTCCAGCCTCAGCCTCCCAGAGAGCTAGGATGACAGGCGTGAGCCACTGAGCCCAGCCCCACTACATGCTTTGAATTCTGCCAATTTCTTCTCTTTATTCAAGTTTGGTGTATTCAATATGCAATTCAGTTTGTTCAAATAAATAAGCACGGAAATCAACAACTGTAAAGGTCTTACAGTAGCCAGGAAAAGCAAAGAGGTATCAGGAAGGCAATGGTTTGACACCTCAAAATCCAGGCAGCCCTGTAGTGGTTCATACCTATAATTCTAGCACTTTGAGAGACTGAAGCTGGGGAATCGCTTGAGGGCGGGAGTTCAAGACCAACCTGAGCACCCCATCTCATGGTGAGACTCCATCTCTATGAAGAAATAGAAAAACTAGCCGAGCATGGTTGTGTGCATCTGTAGTCCCAGTTACTTTGGAGGCCGAGGCAGGAGGATCCCTTGAGCACAAGAGTTTGAGGTTGCTGTGAACTATGATGGTGCCACTGCACTCTAGCCGGGGCAGCAGACAGAGTAAGACCCTATCTCCAAAAAGAAATTTTGTTTTTAATTTAAAATAAGAAATCCGGGCATGTCAGAGTTCCCCAGGTAGCAGTATATGTGGTTATTGTTGCACAGACATCCCTGCATTAATTATATTTAATGCTTTGCACATTTAGACCCATAATAAAAAAAAATAATAATAATAATAATAATCCATGTCGCCCAGGTGACAGAGCTGTCACAACCCATTTCCCTCATACTGTCCCACCATTAAGAATGGAAGGATTACATTCAAAAATAGAAATAAAACTCTGGTCCAAATGAAATAACGAGAAAGATTTTCCACCAACACACCTGTTTTTGAAAGAAGAGAATGGCGGTGCTTTCCACTACACAGAAAATAAGACGCCACACACACTTTAAGAAAACAAAAATCAGAAGATCCAACGGGGGAACTGAAATCCTATGTCTGTCTGGCCCCAGCTTCGCGTCAGCATTTTCTCATCTAACTAGCACTTTCTCCTCCAAAAAGGAGAGGCAGCCCTTCCCCCGCACACGGCCCCAGCCCTTCCTCATTGGGAAACCCATGACGTCACTGTAATCGATGTGACAGCCACAGCTGCGATCAATGGCAGGGCCCTTGTTAGAGACAGCAGGTGTGCGTCTTGCCGGACAGGTGCCGTCTTTGGGTTTGATTGGCCATCTCTCGTACTTGGCCCATTAAATCATCCTTTACAATTCTTTCCCGTGTCACCCGAAGCTGGTCAGAACGACCAGGGAGACAGAATTGATGAGGGGCCCCTTCATCTTTAAAACACCCTAGAAACGAATCCATCGGTATCGTCCACGCAGCTTTGCGTGGTTAGGACGCCCCCGTGTGTCTCTGGCGGGAACTACCACCAACGTTCTCGAAAACATCACCATGGCTTTGCATCAACAAGGCATCATCGTTTTTTTTGTCCGCTTACCTTGAGTGCCTGCTCTGTCTGACGCGTCATGGTGGCAGATACGAAAGCGATTAGGACACGGACCTTCTCTTCAAGAAACTTTCGCTTAATAGGGAAGGGCACACATGCAGCAAGAAATTCTAAAGAGGTAGAAAGCAACAAACGCCTTTTACCGCTGACAGCAAACGTGCTATGAAGGCAGGAAGGAGGCAAAATTAATTCCAGCTGGGGGGAGGTGTCTCTGAACTGGCTTTGTGGAGGTGGTGGTCGATATGACCCTTAAAAACTGGGCATAATTTAGGGCCATCAGTGCATTCATTCACTCACGAAATAGTTTGAGCAATATCAAGTTCAAGTTAGCAAGACAGAAACGCACAGGACCTAAGGAAGGACTAGCAAGGGAGTTAGTGTTTCCAAAGCACGGATCTGTCAAGGAGAACAACATGAATTAGGATTTGAACGGGGTCTTGCGTGTCAAACTGTAAACTTGTACTTCTCTGGGTGATACTGTAGGAGCCAGCGAAGGTATTTAAACAGAGAAGTGATGCTCATTTATATTTTTTATGTAACCAACACTCTAGTTTAGCAAATATCAGCGTTTCTATCCATGCCAGGTGCGAGGCGTTGGGTATACAGTGGTGAGAAAAACACACACCTGCTCTGCTCGTGCAACTCACAGCACAGTCAGGAGAGAGACAAGAAGGAAATATGCGTATTGGCTGGGCGCGGTGGCTCACACCTGTAATCCTAGCACTCTGGGAGGCGGAGGCGGGCGGATCGCTCAAGGTCAGGAGTTCAAAACCAGCCTGAGCAAGAGCAAGACCCCATCTCTACTAAAAATAGAAATTAATTGGCCACCTAAAAATATATATAGGAAAAAAAATTAGCCGGGCATGGTGGCGCATGCCTGTAGTCCTGGCTACTCGGGAGGCTGAGGCAGGAGGATCGCTTGAGCCCAGGAGTCTGAGGTTGCTGTGAGCTAGGCTGATGCCACGGCACTCTAGCCTGGGCAACAGAGGAGACTCTGTTCCAAAAAAAAAAAAAATGCATATTACACATATAAATACATGCATGGTTAAAATAATGATTAGGCAGATGAAGAAAAAACAGGATTCTCTTTGAGAATAATGAAGGGCTGGGTCTTAGTTGAGGTTGGGGGTCAGGGAAGTCCTAAGGCAATGACATCAGACCTGAGGCCCGAAGGATACATGGGTGATGCCCTTGTGAAGGTGACGCCCTCCTGAAGAAGGAAGGAGTTTGCTGAGGTCAAAGGATTCGAGTGGTGGCAGCCAGGCCACAGGGCTGGGGGACTGGGGAGATGTTGGTCAAAGGGCTCAGAATTTCAGTAACGCAGGACGAATAAGTTCTGGATAGTGCAGCCTCGTGACTCTAGTTAATAATAGTGTATTCCATACTTGAAGTCTGCTAAGAGACTAGATCTTCCGCATTCTCACAGAACACAAAAAATGGCAACTCTGTGAGGTGGTGGATGTGTTAATTAGCCTGATTGGCGTCATCATGTCACAGTGTATACGTATATCAAAATATCACATTGTGCACTTTGATGATATGCAATTGTTATTTGTCAATTATACGCCAATACAGCTGAAAAAGAGGGACACAGAGAGGTTAAGGGGGCGACAGGCAGAAGCCTGGTGTGAGAGGAGGGCAGGGGCAAAGTTGGAGGTGGCAGGGGAGCCCAGAGAGAAAGGGACACCAGCCCACGCCAGCCTCACGCGCACCGCAACGAGCCTGGGTTTTAAGCACTGGGAGGGGCAGCTAGATCCTGTCTACAATTCAGAGACATCGCTGGGCACCGAGTGGAGAATGTGCTGGAAGGAGACATGGGCAGCTCTGGGACACCAGGTAGGAGCCTCCAGTAGCTGCCAGGTGAGACCGTGGGGGCCGCAGCCAGGCAGGTGTCAATGGGGTAGAGAGAACTGCTCCTGGAAGGTTCGTCTGGGGAAAGGCTGAGAGCAGGGAGGCCAAATCAGGAGGCGATTGCTAGGTCCCAGTGGAATCCAGGAAGGGGACCCAGGCTTGAGAGGGAAGGAGGGCCAGGATACAGTGTGGACAGGATCTTACCCAACCCGGGGGTGGAGGGGCCCCTCGAGGGAGAAGGCACAGGTCAGAGGGCCACTCCAGGGGACAGGAAAGGCTTGAGCCTGCATGGCTTTCACGAAAGGAGGGCCACCAGCTGAATCAAAGGAAGAAGCGTGGCGGAAAGAGGGCAGAGGATGGGCTTGGATGGGGCACTGTCAACTCGAGGAGCCTGGATGAGACCCAGATGGGAGAGCCAGCCCCAGGCATTTCATGACACTGCGATTCTCCAACTACTAACTAAGCTGAGTTTGGGGGGGGGGGAATGGAAGAGAAGATGCCTTAGGAGGTGGGGTGCGTGGAAGGATTGCGGGTAACCTGGGGGTGGGGACGGAGGAGAGGAAAGGCAGGCAAGACACCCAGAGCCCGAGGCAGCTCCGACTAAGAGGGAAACACAAGAATGCAAAGGAGTCCCTAAAATAACCTGACCTATGTTGGCATAAAGGGGATAATGAGACAGGCTCAGAGAAAACGTGCTAAGATCATCAACCCAGTCATCTAGGAACTGCCAAGAACTGAGCCTGCCTCGTGCCTTCCTCCCACTGACCAAGTAGGAAGTCACCCCTGCCCCATCCCCACTCCCCATCACTACCTGGGCTCTTCTGCTGAGGCTGCCGGGAATATTTGGGCAAATATCACTCTGCACAGTGGAATATCCCATTTAGCCACAAGGTTAACCCGATCAATGTCTGAATGCCAACGGCTTTCCCTCTCATCTTGAATTATTAAAACATAATTGAACCTTCCCTTTGTGTCATATGATTATAATTATGGAGAGACGTGGTACCTGTCACTAAGATGCAGACGCAGGTGTGGAGGATAGGAACAGGTGGGTACTGGCCCCTGCGGTGGCTTTGGGACTTGGCTGGATCGTTGGTCTCTTGCCCCTTCCTCATCCAGGGTCCGTGAATGGCAACTGGTGACGTGTCTCTGGCCTCCGCACAGCTGTCCTTCTGTAACATCAGTTAATGAAGCCAGCGTTAAACGTTCCTCTGCCAAATGATGTCTTGCCCTCCAGAAGGTCTCTGTCACTGCCACTATTAAGAGCCTTCAACTTTTCAAGCTCATCCAAAATGTTATCTGTAACTAGGATGCCATGAAACACCTGCCTCTCTTAGCAGTTTATATTACGCTTCCACCCATCCCTGACCTGAAGTCACTGAGTTTGTTTTGTTTAAGGCGCATGAGCAAACTCAAGAATCTATGCTAAGTGGGGATAAGTGAAAGTTAATTTCACCCCAACCCTCACTTGGTTTCCATGTTAATTTCACCCAACTTGAGGCCTGGGTTCCTGGGAAGAAATTTAAGTTTGCAAAAGGTATGTGAGTAATGGTTGGTGGAGCATAAATAAAATATAAAATAATAAAACCGGGACACTGACAAGCATCTGAGGTTGCATGAAATGATGTGAGTCTGAACGCTTTCTGGTTTATGGCTGCTTAACTCTGCTACGGCTTTAAGGGGTGGGTGGGGGGTGATGTGGGAAGCTGGAAAGTGAGTCAGTTACATGCATCTGGGCTGAACGTAAGCCCCTCTGTCTGGCCCACTGCACCTCTGCACCGTGTCATTACATGCCTGTCTTAGAAGAGCCTGAAATCAATATATATAAAAAATGAAAGTTCAAAACCCTTAAGAAGCTGAAAACCTGTACTTCGCCTTGCCTTCTCTGCACCCCGAGGAGGTCTAAATCTCCCTGCGTTCCCACATCAAGCCTGAGACCCCAGCCTCGCTGGAACTGTCTTTTTTATTCTGCATGATTTCAGCGGCGTTCTGCCAAGCATCCGCGGGTCTTTAAAGGAAATGTGAAAGGGTAGCAGAGACACATCTGTGCGGCAGAGACATGCGGCACAGGACAGGAGCACATAAATCAAAGCCAGGGAGAAGCCTGCTAGCAAACCCAGAAATCAAATTGTGTCAGGGAGAAGGCCGGTGCGGAAAATAGATTAGAAGGGCACCGAACAAGAGAGAAGAAAGGCAGGCAGCCCTGCAAAAATTAATGAGAGGCAGAGGAGGCCAGGAGAAGCAGGCTGCATTTGAAGAGTTTGCACTGCCTGGGGAAGGGCTGGCGGTGCAGCAAGTCTTGTGGACTGACTCCTGGCTGGGTAACGTGACACCACCTCCCTCTGCGTGTCTGCCGCTCTCAAACCAGGCCACAAGCTCTGAAAGACGTTAGGGGAGGAACAGGACACGACAGGAATAGGAGAGCAGGCGCTGGGACTCAGAGGAGGACCAGACCCTCCACCCACAGTGCCACCCAACATCTGGCCTGCAGCCCGGCCCGGCTCTCGCCGCCACCGCGCCGGGTGTGACCAGGTGGCCCGGGATGCTGACACCGGCCTGCAGGTTACCCTGAAGTTAAAAGAGGTGACATAAGTACAAACACAGAGTTGGGGGCTCCACAAAGAGACACCGTTGTTGTTATCATCCAATAAAACTGAGAAGCAGGTGGAAGTTGTCTCTAAAACTTTCCGTTTTCATCTGCGACTTCCAGGTTCTGTGTGTCACCTGAGGTCCTTCCTTTTCTCAAACCCCCCCCACACACACACACCTGTTCTCTCACACCCGGGCTCCTGCGTCGGGTGGGGCAGTCGCTTCGCCTCCTCCCAGCCAAACTCCCCCCCCAGCGAAGCGGACAGGTGTGAGGTGGCAGGTGTGCCCCCCAGGTGGACTCAGGCCCCTGGCGGGGGTCACTGAGACCGGGCTTCCAGTCCCGCGCGCTCTGCACCGCCTGCGGCACCTGGCGGGAGCAGGAGGCAGATGCACGTCCCCGCGCGCAACGTCGAAAGTTCTGGAAGGGTGGCTTTATGTATGAACTCACTCTCCATTTCAAACCGCACGCCGCCTGGCGGCAGAAACCTAATCTGAAGGTGGATCCCACGGGCCTCGGTGAGAGGACCGAGCACGCCGAGGTCGGCGTCCCCCGCGGCCCGCGGTCCTGAGGAGCCACGGCGCCACAGCGCGGCCACTCCCCGCCTGACGGCTAAGCCACCACGTTCCGTGCCGGTGCGAAGAGAACAGCCAACCCTGCTCCAGCCTCCCTTACGCTGCCGCCCTTGCCGAGCCAGACCTGCCGCGGTCCGGCTTGCGGGTTTGGAGTCTGGGCTGTTCGACCCGGCCCGGGCGTCCTGGGGGCGGGGCGTCCTGGGGGCGGGGCGTCCCGGGGCGTGGCTTCTGGGGCGGGCGCCTGGTGGGCGGGGCGTTCTGAAGGCGGGGCTTTATAGGGGCGTGGCTTCTAGGGCGGGGCATCCCGGGGGCAGGCCGCCAGGGCGGGGCTTTCTAGGGGCGTGGCATCCTGGGGCGGGGTGTGTGGTGGGCGTGGCGTCTGGTGGGCGTGGCGTCACGGGGCGGGGCGTCGTCCGGCCTGGGAGGAGCGTCCGGCAGGGCGGGGGTCCGGCACTCACTCGCCGCGGCCCACCGCGGCGCCCTGGGAGGGCTCGACCTCTGCGGGCGTCGCGATCCGGTGGCTGCCATGGCGGCCGCGCGGGCCCTGGTGGCGAAGGGGCCCCGCTGGCTCCGGCGCGGCGCGGGCGCCGCTCCGGGCTTCTGCAGCGGCCCGGCGGGCTCGGCGCGCGGAGTGCGAGCGCTCCCCGGGCGCCGGCAGCGACGGCATCAGTCGCCGCGGGGCGGGCGGAGGGCGCGGCGGCTGGCGTTCGGGTCCCTGTCGCCGCACCGACCGCGGGCGCCCAGGGCTCGGGCTCCCGGGGAGGCGTCCCCGCGGACCGGCGCGGAGCACACGGGAGCCCTGGGGTCTCCTCGGACGCCCCTGCACCCCCAAACCCTCGGGGAGCCGAGTCGCCGCCCGACGCGGGGCTGGGCCCTTCGGAAGACGGCTCTGTGCCCCCAGGGCAGGCCCGGCTCCCGGCCAGGGTCGGCTTGGCCTGGCCGCTCCTTGGCGCTCACCCAGGCGTGCAGGGACGGGCGGGTCGGCAAAAGGACGAAGGACGGTGTCCTGAGCTCTGCCCTTTGGGCAACTAGCCTCAAACCCTTAAAAACACACGAGCGCACAAACCGGACGACGGGGTGATGAAGGTTGGAGAGCCTCTGGCACCACCCAGGCCTGACCCTAACATTCGCCTGGCCAGGGCAGGGGTGCAAAGGGAGGCCTGAAACGAGGTGTTATTCTCCTCCCCTGACAAGTATAGGGTCCAGGACCTGGAAGGCGGAGTTTGAATTCAGAACCCACAACCCCACGTGTTCCTCAGAAGGGGTGGAGACTCAGGTGGTGGCGACAGCTCTGTCCTTTTCTTCCCACTCTCCTCTCGTCCCCTCCCCCCTCTCCACCCCTCCTTCCTGCTGCTCTGCAAGGGGCTTGGCACACAGGGCTGCAGACGCCCCATCCAGCATGTCCAAATTCTGTCTGTCCCCTCACCCCTATAGACCACTGCTCCTGCCACCCTGGAGCCTAGGGGTGCCCACTGCAGGGGCAGGGATTTCCAAGGTCTCAGTAACTGCAGCAGAGTTTGGAAGGGAGATGATTTCATTCCCCGTGGACTCCTGCTCATCTATAGGGGCAGGCACAGCGGGAAGACGACCAGAGTGGGCTCTAAAGTTCATGCCTCTAATTCTAGCACTCTGGGAGGCCCAGGCGGGTGGATCGCTGGAGGTCAGGAGTTCAAGACCAGCCTGAGCAAGAGTGACACCTTGTCTCTACTAAAAATATACAGAAATCAATTGGCCAACTAAAAATACATAGAAAAAATTAGCCAGGCATGGTGGCACATGCCTGTAGTCTCAGCTACTCAGGAGGCTGAGGCAGGAGGATGGCTTGAGCCCAGCAGTTTGAGGTTGCTGTGAGCTAGGAGGATGCCACGGCACTCTAGCCCGGGCAACACAGTGAGGCGCTGTCTCTCTATATATAAATAAATAAAGTTCAAGGCCCACACAGGGTCCTTCTTGCCCTTTTTTTTTTTTTTTTTTTTTGAGACAGAGTCTCGCTTTGTTGCCCAGGCTAGAGTGAGTGCCGTGGCGTCAGCCTAGCTCACAGCAACCTCAAACTCCTGGGCTCGAGTGATCCTTCTGCCTCAGCCTCCCGGGTAGCTGGGACTACAGGCATGCGCCACCATGCCCGGCTAATATTTTTTATATATATATCAGTTGGCCAATTAATTTCTTTCTATTTGTAGTAGAGACGGGGTCTCGCTCTTGCTCAGGCTGGTTTTGAACTCCTGACCTTGAGCAATCCGCCCGCCTCGGCCTCCCAAGAGCTAGGATTACAGGCGTGAGCCACAGCGCCTGGCCCTTCTTGCCCATTTTTAAAGATAGTTCTTGTCCTATAAATCTAGTTACATCTGGTCAGAAGCCCACCTTCTGGGCTCAGCAGCCAGATGACAAAAGGCAGCCAGATGAGTTCCTCAGAGTTAAACATGAATCAGAAAGGGAGAGGATTGGAACGATCTAGCATAAACGTTAGGGATCTTTAGTAGACAGAAACCCCCGACTCCAGCATTTAAGCAATACTATGTCAGGCACTGACCAGGAGGGCTTGAGCAATGTGGTGGTCCTTCTAGTGTCCCCTTTCAAAGCTGTTCCTCCCAGGAATAATGCAGTCTTGTAGGCAGGGCCAGGCCTGAGCTGGGTACTGTGTTAGGCACTCTGTGTGCATTACTCCTGATTCTGACAAGGGCCTGGAAGATATTATTATGCCCACTTCACAGTGAGGGCACAAGTTCAGAGAGGTGACAGCCTGTTCAAGGCCACTCAGCCAGAAGGTAGGATCCCAGGAGTCAGAGAGAGGTCCCGCTGCCCCTAAAGTTATTCCTGTGCTGCCATCTCAGGACTTGCCACTCGGGTGTAGAAGAGATGGCAAAAACCCGGATGTCAATCCGCTGCAACCAGAATTGGCTGTGAAAAACAGAAATGCTGGTTTTTGTCCTTCACTCAGCAGATATTTATTGAGTGCCTTCTCTGTGTATGCACCTGACAGTCCCTCACCTCAGAGACCTTCTCATGATTTACAACGATCTTCAGACAGCTCCTTAGGCATAAATAGGGACCATCTCTTGCCACTTTTTACCACGTGCCCTGGTGGTGACTATTACTGCCTGCTGATGTTCTTGTCTCCGCATCATTGAAGAAAGTGAGGGACATGGCAATTTAATCAGCAAGTGACAGTACACTCCAAAACGGGTAGGAGTTGGCACACGTCCCAGCAGACAGTGGCATTTGGGTCTGTTTGGGTTTCTTCTTTTCTTTCCCCTGGCCTCTCCTCCTTCATGATACCGTCTCTTCCCGCTCCCCCTTTTTCATTTGTGACCAATAGGGATGTTGTCACCTTCCTGCTGTCGGGCGGGGGAGTTTTTCATCTTATATGGTTAGCCCCCGATGTGTCATGGTGCCCAAAGCCCACTCTGGGTGGGCGAGCAAACTGTAATGTCATGCAACATGCTCTGTGTTGTTTCTGTTACTTTTCTGATAACACTAATGGTCACCCTTATCTTGTGACAGTAAGTTCTCTTACTCAGTGCCCCCTTTGTTCACACTTCCCATTCTGTCCTTCCTCTGCTCCTGTCTTACTTTCCCACCGACGCTCACAGTGACTTCATTCCTACAGAGGTTTCCTCTTCCGGCAGGTAGCGTGGGTGGAGCTCTCCGCGCAGGGCATTGGGTGTTTGGACCAAGATAGCCATCGGGGGAGTTCAGACTGGTGAGATTTTTTAGGAGGAATTATCAACAGGGTTGATGAGCAGTTGAATAAGGAAGGGATGGAGACTTGGAATGACTCGGTTTCTGGCTTGGGCAACTGAGTGGTAGCACCGAGGTAAGGGAAGGAGGACGGGGGCAAGTTTGGGAGTCGGGGGAGATGCCCAAGGAACAGGTAGGTGGAGAAGTCCAGCAGACACTGGAAGGGACGTGTAGCCTGGGGCTCAGCATGGAGGTGGCAGCTGATGTCAAGGCCATTGGTGAAGTCGCCCAGAAAGAGTGTATAGAGTGAGAAGAGGGCATAGGATGAAATTCTTGGGTATCATTGGCATTTAGGGGGTTAACAGAGAGCTGGGGGCCCACGAAAGAAGTCAAGAAGGACTGGCCAGGGGAGCACAAAACAACCAGGACAGAAGAAACCTGCTTCCAGAAGGAGAGCGTGATCAAGATGGCGGGTGGATTTGGATCTGCCAATTAGGCGAGTCCTGGCGAGACCAGTCTGGGTGGCATGGTGGGGACAGCAGCCTGGAGAACTGGCAGTTGGGAACGCTGGCAGTGCGTGTGATGTGCGAGCCAGGGGACCAATGGGACCCACGTGGACAGACACTGCCCTGCTGCAGGGGCGTTCCGGGGCTGGAATCTCTTTACACGACTTTGCCTGAGGCCTTAGGGCTTAATTTAAGCATATGTCACCAACGGGGTGGGAGCCTTTTGTATTTGGCATAACAAGCACACTCGTATTTTATTGAAAGGTCTATAAGCAGTTCTCTCACCCTCCACCCCCAACTAAAAGTAGGTTCTGAAGTCGATCAGCGTATCAGCCGCAAGCAATTTTTGTACTTAAGGGAGAACGTGTCAATGAGAAACAATAGGACGAACCTGAAGATGGCTGCAAAATTGCAATGGTATTCCAAAGAAAGTGACTATCCTCGTGGCATTGAAGTGAATTCAGTCATCAAAGGTGTTTTCCGAATATGTACGGATGTTTTATGGAAGGTTGGGTTGTGCATGCAGTAGGGTAGACTCAGA